TTTTTTTTTAATAGAGTGGGAATTCCATTTGTACGTTGATTGAATGTGCCGAGTGCTCGTTAGCTGGTTTTGCGGCATGCTCACACCAGCACTTTCCTAAATTGTGTATACGACTGCACTTACGGCCAAACATGGCTGAATCTGACTGCAATCACGTCCAGAGCTTAGTATAGAAGTCCTAGTGTGAGCATATACCCTCAAGGGGCATTGTCGTAATGAGTTTGCGATCTCGGGGTTTCCGTGACAATTAAGTCGCTGCAATGGATGGTCGATTTTATACAGTTCTCGTCGTCTTTTTCAGCTTTCCAGTACCGCTAACGTCTTTGGATGTTGTTAATGTATTTGTTGTGACCATGTCTGCATCCACCACGGCTGGGAAAGACGATAAAGAAAGAAAGTGAGTCTATATGCGCTGGGAGGGGTGGGCGTTCCTTGCCTTTTCTTTTTTTCACTTGTTCTCTCCGCGTATGTGTGTGTTTGAGACGTGTGTGCTCTAAGGCGCGCAAAGTACGATACATCATTACTTTTACCTGCACAGCTCCAACAAACCATGTCGCTTTACCTTGAATAAAAGACGAAGCGGGAGTGTCGTAACCGGCAGCAAAAGGCCAACAACAAAAAAAGTAGACGTATCCCGTAGTGGAAGGTAGGGAATTCTAAATCGGACTCTACGAGCAGCATGTACTCTTCAACGCATGGGACTGACGCATCCAACAGTGCAAGGTAGGGGATGACTATGTTGAGTGATGAGAGTACAGCATCAAAAAGCTTTGGACAGACCGGATTCAGGCAGACCAGAACACACACAATAACACCTCACAAACAAACGCAAAGGACAGCGAGGCGAAGGGCAGGGAGCCAACACCATAGTATGACAAATCACAAAATGGCAGATGACCTCTTAGGGGCACGACAGGAGGAACAAACAGTGGGGCAGCACATAGGCTGAACAGCGGGGGGGAGATGGTGGGGGGGGGGGGGATGGGGGGGGGGGCATAAGTATGAGTATCTGAAAACAGCAAAAACGACCTGAAGAAACGAAAACAGCGAAGGACAGGTTGGAGCCAGAAGAAACGAAAACAGCGAAGGACAGGTTGGAGGGTAGAGGGGAGGAGGGTGGTCAGACAAACAGTACAAGGCAAGAAACAAAGACCGAAAAAAAAAAAAAAAGAAGCTGATGATGAAAGATTGTTTCATCGGACTTGCACCGACTCGTCAGGGAGGCTGAACCCTTGACAATCTGCGGAATGCCAGTCTTATCGGTTTGGGTCATGAACCCTGTGACCGATGCTGAAGGCGGACTGTCCCCAAGACGAACATAGGACTTTCTAGACGTCTCTCTCCATCCACTATTTGTGCATCTCCAGTCTCCCTTTTCCTGACGCGGGCGGAGCTGCGCTGGTCCATCTTGTACCACCATGTAATCATGTGTTAGCATCACAAAAAAAAAAAAAAAAAAAAAAACCCTTAGCCTCCATTCATTAGAACATCATCTCCCCTCCCGAAATTTTCCGGAAGATTATTTCCCCCCCTACTTTTATGCGAGCCCCCTCTTTTTTTTTTTTTTTTTTTTAACCCGGAAGGTGAGGGCCATTCTAATATTCTCTCTTTGAAAAAAAAAAAGTAAACTTCTCTTTTTTGTCACATCGGACGGGGAAATCTCTGACAATTTGCGCAGAACTTTCGACTGATTGGTCACAGCTGTATTTAGATGGAAACCTTTCCCAAATATGCTTTTTATAATTCCCAGGCATTCTACATAGGTGATTGTGTTTTTTTTGGGGGGGGGGGGGGAAGCACAGGTGAAGATGGTAGTCATAGCGGTGACCTAACCAGGAAATAAATCGCAAACAAAAAGTTTATAACTTTATATGTATTCTTTTTTCTCCTTTCTTTGGGGAAAGTTGAGACTTATTCACTCCTCCCCCTACTCTTTTCCTTATATAAACAATCAGTCCGACATGGAATAAATATTAAATTCACTGATTGTGGGGTGAGATACACATGCAGATAACCGTGCATGCACTCGGACCCAGGTCTCACATGAAGACAAACCTGGACTGGAATTTGAAAATTAAAATTTCATTTCATTAAAATAAATGGACGATGTCCGTCCGATGTGACCGTTTCAGAAAGAAAAACACAAAAGAGGACTGCTTCTTTTTCTTTTTTATTTATTTATTTATTTATTTAATAACGAGGATTGTTTTTCATTCGAGGTTGTGCATTGAACCACACTGTCCGTAACTTAAAACGCATGCACATCGAGAGGTTGCACAAAATCCACACTGGAGTTGAGAGAGAAGGCAAAGTCCAAACTAGCACGTCGTACAAATTGCAGCGGATTATCTTATTAAACAAGTTTCGGTGTTCCAGCCGCCAAGCGCAGAATAGCGCAGCGTTCAGCAACCCATATCCCTCATCCTTAACCAAGGCAGGTAGGTGACAATCTTTCCTTGCTTCTCTCTCTCTCTCTCTCTCTCTCTCTCTCTCTCTCCCGTGATGCATGTCGACCCTCTCGCTCGCTCTGCATGAAGATCTTGACTCTGGATACATCCGCGTCCGCTGCTACTCAGTGCTAACTCCTAGTACTAGCTGTGCGGCAATGGCGGCCTTCCTCTCACAGTGCAGCGCTGCCCAGCCAGGGCTGCAGCGCATGCTACTTGCAACTGGAGCACAAGCGCTCGGCAGCACTTCCACACTTTTCCGAACGAGCAATCTGTCCGAAATGAGCCCGACCAGTCCCTCTGTTGACTTGAACTGCGCCTTGACTCGTCACAGCCTCTGCTTCAGTCTTAGTGCTTCAGTCTTAGCTTGACTTGGACCTGGTACCGGCTGCCCACGCCGTGATTGCTTCAGAATGTCCAGGCCCGGTACCTCCCTGAGGTTTTCTTGGTGTGCCGCTGCTTTTGGGTCTGTGGGACTCGACCTTTGACCCTGGGTCGCTCTGACTATGAGATGTGACTTTCGCCTACTGGATGCGACTTTTGCCTCTTTGGATGTGGGCCGGGAACCGGCCGGTTGGACCTTGGGAATGCGGTAAATCCTGAGCACGCGTACTTCGACGATTTTTCATTCTCCGTGCTGTCAACGAAAAAATCCCAAGAAAGTTCAGAAATGTAGATGAGGTTCCAACACATCAGCGGCAATATATATATAACAGTTTGTCACAGCCCCTCGTTTGTTGTCCTCTTCTCTCTCTCTGCCTACGGTTTTACCGGGCAGTTCTGTTTGTAACGATATATATATATATATATATTCAGCCTCCTGATGAGTCGGTGAAACTCCGACGAAACAGTCGTCACAAACAGAAATATATATCTTCTCCCTCTCTGCCTACGGTTTACCGGGCAGTTCTATTTGACGATATATATATATATATATTCAGCCTCCTGATGAGTCGGTGAAACTCCGA